GGGCAGCTAGGGGCCATAGTCTCGGTGGTTCCATCAGGCTCTATCAGACCAGCAAAACTGGTCCCCCCCTTTTTTTTTTCTAAATGATTTTGAGTTTTGTTCCACATTGCTCTCCCTCTCTATCCAGGATCTCCTACACAGATCCCCCTCCAAGGGGTTAACAGTGGTAGCTGGGCACCATCTAGTTCTTCTGGTCTCATAGTCATATAGGCTGAGGATTGCATGGTGTACCAGTTGCTTGGATTAATTGTTTCCATGAATCTTTAGTTTTCTTCATTCTTCTTTGCTCTGGACAAGGAGAAACCCATCATTGCATCTAGAGGGCTGCTTGCAAGCTTTTAAAATCCCAGTGGATACTCGCCAAAGTAGGAGATGGAACAATGTTTTGTGTAATATGTTATGCCAGTTGAGCTTGATGTCCCCTGCGACTATGGTCCCGAGCCCACAGGTTCAACTACTCGCTCCCTCTGGCTGTGGCCAAGAAGTGACTACAACCTCCTCCCTTGTCAGCTGTACTATATACCTGGGAATTCTTACAGAACATACAAATACACTTGTAGAAACATTGTCTGCCAACCCCATACATGGTCTTGGGTACTCTTCTCCCTGCATAGACATACCTAATAGTTCAGCCTGTTTACCCATCTATCCACCCTTATACCCACGTTTGCCTTCACTGACAATGCAGTACTGTATGTGCAAAAGGGTTCATATTTGTTGTCTGTACCTCCCATGCACCTCTCTTTGTCTTCCTCTTCCTCAGTGCCACCATGTTGATCACTCACATCTGGTACATTGCCCTTCCTTTCACCCACATCAATACTTGTCTCTACCTATCTAACAACAGCTGTTGTTTTGACAAAGGCCGTGTCAGGTTCACTTTTTGAATCAGCAGTGATTCACGAGTTTGGCTATTTTAGGCCCTGCCCTCTGGGAAGGTGGACACACACTTGGAAAGCAGAGGCCAGTCTGTTACAGTTATGTACTCGGCACACTAGGTAAACCACATTTATATAGTTGTATGTGTATCTATCTTTTCACGTTAACAGGGTTTTTAAGATTAGTAAATATGGCATCTTGTCTAAGCAGATGGTCCATGCTCGTGGCAGAGTAGTCAAAAGTGCTCTGAATTGTTTAGGGAGGTGAAGGTGAGGCCTACAATTCGGAAACCTCGGCCACCGAGTCACTGAAGAGTAAGCCCCACCACACTGGATCCCCCCTCAGGGCTGAGCTCAGTGACAAGCCTCCTTTGTGTTTTCTGAGATTCCTGAGCAGTGTGCAAGCGTAGGTATCGATCGTCTGGACTCTCAGCGCTTGGCTTACACAGACCTTGTCGCTCACCCCACCGCGGACAGCGACACGCAGGCCTTTGCTTTTGCGCTGTTGCCATGCAGTCGGCACACCTTTGCTGACAACAAGTTGGCCCAGTTCTTCTGCTGTGTGAGACTTTGCGGCTTTCAGGCGTGGGGTCCCCTGTGTGCTCCTTTTTCCAGGTGACCAGTGACTCGGTGGCCGAGGTTTCCGAATTGTAGGCCTCACCTTCACCTCCCTAAACAATTCAGTTCCCTTATTAACATGTCATTGTATTTGACATCTTGAGTGTAGGCAGACACGGGCGTTAGTCACACAACATTTGGCTTATGCTCAGCCACCATCTTCTTCCCTTTGAGTTGTTGCCGCAGCCTGAGAACCTCTCCATGTCTTTCAGGAGGATTTGGCACTAAGGGGATGGGGGAAGGGGAAGGATTCAGTGGTGGTGTTTTTTTTTTTTTTTTAATTTTTATTGTGGTAAAAACATACACAAGACATTTACCAACAGCTTCCACATTTACAGCTCAGAGACATTGATGACATTTTTCATGTTGTGTCACCATTATTGCCATCCTTCTCCAAAGTGTCCCACCACCATTAGCATAAACTCAACGCCCCCCAGCAAAAGCTTCCCCTTTCTGCCTCCCTCCTACCCCTGATAACCACTAATAATCTTTGGTTTATTTACATACACACACATATATTTTCAATATATTATATACATTGCCAGGAATTTTCCCTTCCTTCCCCCCCTTCCCTAGTAACCAACAAAGAAAGTTTCCTTATGTATAAACCTTTCCTTGACTTTTTACAGTAGTGGACTAATACAGTCTTTGTCCTTCTGTGATTGACTTATTTCACTCAGCGTAATGTCCTCTAAGTTTATCCACATTATGTGGTGGTTTGCAGGTTCTGCATCATTCTTTAGAGTTGCATAGTATTCCATCATGGGTATGTACCACAATTTGTTTATCATTCCTTCATTGATGGGCACTTAGGCTGTTTCCATCTCTTTGCTATTGTGAATAGTGGTGCAGTAAACATGGGTGTGCACATCTGTCTGTGTCCTGGCTCTCACTTCTTTAGGATATATGCCTAGTAATGGGATTGCCGGATCAAATGGTATTTCTATTTCCAGCTTTTTAAGGAACCGCCATAATGATGTCCACACTGGTTGCATCATTTTACAGTCTCGGTGGTGTTTTTGTTAAAGAGACTCAGTGAAAGATGGTGAGCTTTGATTGTGCTCGACCGGAGAGTTGGCACTGTGACTGGGGGAGCACTGTCTGCCTTCCTTGCTGTGCCAGTCTGTTTCTGTGGTGGTTCATGGCAGCTCAGTATTAACTTTGGAGACCCTTGGTATTTTTTCACGTTGATCCGCATATGCCTGCAAGTATGGGGAGAGGAGTGTGGCAGGCTCCCATGGAGCCCCAGATACTGGTGGCGGGTTCCCTCAGGGACACCGGCTCTGTAGCTCTGTGATAAAGGTGGGACCAGTGCCTCCCATCAGGGGACCTGTTGCAGGCTCAACCCTGTTCAGTCAGGCTTTTGAGGGTTGTGCCCTGGGATCTGGGCTCCATGAGCACTGGGCAGAGGGGACTCAGAGTGAGGAGGTGGGTGGGATACCGAGGCACACAGAAGGCTGTCCCTCTGCTCCTCAGTGTTTTCCCGCTCACCCCGAGCTCTTCATACTGGGTGATGAGCTGTTGGAGTCAGGGCTGGGACCCCATGGTCACCTTTGCACGCCCAGCGTTCCCGCACCTTGCTGGGCAAGCAGAAGTCAGCCTTCCGTTCAGCAGAGGAAGTAGGCCCCACGGACAGCAGTCACTGCTCTCTTGTTTTTCTCGAAGTTTTCTGTGTCTGTGTGTGATTGGAACGAAACATCAACTTTTTTTTTGTGTGTGTCATATTTCAATATTGGCTTTTTTTCTTCTTGAAGTCTCCTTTTATAACTTCTGCTGCTGCTTAAATATAGCTGTCTGCGTCCTCCTCCTTCCAGATTGTTTATGGTTTGCACAGCCTTCTGCTCCTCTGCGATTGCTCTTCTCCATCCCCATCCCCATCCCCGCTCTGCCACATTGGTTGCGGCTGCTCTTTTTTCCTGCCTTCACTTGCTGGGATGTGTTTCAAATGTGGTCTATCAGAATGCTCAGTGTTTCCCTCATCTCTGCAGTCGCTTTGACATCTGTTCTTGAATCCCAGCCCACAGGATTCTTTTGGACTTGCTTGCCCGAGACTTGCTGTAACGCCAGAAATAGTGAAGGGGAGAGTGCAGTAGGGTGGGTGCCTCTCCCCGTCGCCTCATTTTCTTCTCACCCCTTTTGGAAAGCGTCTGGGCTTGCCCGCGTGGCAGCAGCACAATGCCCTGGCTGTTGATCCGGCACTTGGTCGTCTTGTCTGGCTTGGGCCTTGGGCGGCAGTGGCCCACCCTGTCGTGGCACTAATGATGTGTTCAGCGGGAGGGTCTGCAGTTCAGGTATTTCTCCCAGAAAGGAAAGCGGGTGGGACTTCATGAGATGGGAGGAGAAAGCCCCTAGCATGCTTCCTTGATGTGTGGACAGGATCTCAGTCGCTGATGTTTCTTGCCTTCTAGCCTCTGCGTTGGTCCTTGCTCGGCTCAGCCCCAGGGTGATAGTCCATGCCATTGGCAGCCATGCAGAGCAGCCACCTTTAATCCTAAACAAAAGTGCCTGTGTGTGTGTGGTGTGTGGGGTGTGTGTGTGTGTGTGTCTTTAATAACTGAAACCACTCAGCATGGGAGTGGGCCTTTTGGTGGCCACAGAAATGTGTCCTTGTGTTCCTGCGGTCCGCCCGGAGCATCATCCTGGGCCCATCTGTTTCAGGCTTGTTGGAAGCAGATCCCCTTGGCATCTTCCAGAATTTCCAAGGCCTGGGCACGGGTTCTTTGATATACTGTCAGTTTGTCACGTGGAGCAGAGCTCAGGGCCCTTGGCTCCCGATGGGTCTCCTTACTTGGGATCCACCCCTGGTCGTTCTAAGCGTTTTAATGGTTTGAGGGTGGCTCCTGTTTGCAGGTGCCTTGTTTCCAACTGGCTAAGGTGTTGGGAATAGTTATTTTGGGAGTTTGCTTCATTAAAGCATCTTCTTGAAAACAAGTATTAGGTTAACTTTAATGGTACCTTACATGCCGCCTGGCCTGTCGGAAGCTCACAGTAAATATTTGTTGAATGAAAGCAAACTGTGTGTAACTACAAAAGATGGCAGGCCCACACTGCCGAGGGACAGGCAGAATGCCCCAGTGAGCGGCACCGACTAAGACAGGAGCCCCAGAGCACAGCAGCATGGCCAGAGAGGCACGTGCTGTGAACAGAAACGGGGCCACTCCCAGGAGAGATACCATGTGGGCACTGGCCTGACTCTGGTTTTAGCAAAGAAAAATGTGTCTGCACATTTTATTGTAGAAACATAGACATTTGTGAAGTGCATGTTGATGCAGTGCACCTCACGTTGGGCAAGTTTGGTTCTCAGAGCAGCCCGCACGGAGCCGATTGGAAACGCACTGCGGTCTTGCTGCCTGCCCTTTCTTCTTGACCCAGCCCCTCCTCTGCCAACACATTGATAATCTCCAGAGCCGTGGGGTTACCTCGCCAGGGCCCTGGTCAGATGCGATCTTCTCTGGTACAACAGACACTTACAATCTCGTTTCTCGTTTTTGTTTCTCTTGACAGAGAGAACTTGATGCCACCGCAACAGTATTGGCTAACCGACAAGATGAGAGCGAGCAGTCCAGGAAGCGGCTTATCGAGCAGAGCCGGGAGTTCAAGAAGAACACCCCAGAGGTGAGGTGGGGCCCCCGGCGAGGTCTGTTTGGAGGGCTCTTGTTATTCTAGTACATATTCAGAAGACATTTTGTAAGCATTTCATTTTTCTCAGACACATATACTGCAAATGACCGAGTTGTCTCGTTTATTCCCAGTCCCGTTCTCTCTTTACCACGTACCACTACGGGGCTGTGGAAATGTGAGAGTTCATAGGCTCATACGTGGTTGGAGCAGATTAAAGCACAAGCTTTTTCCAAATGCACATATTGAACGAGTTGGGCGTACAAGAGTATGTGGCCGGGTGTGGGGAATCGCGGAGCCCAGCCCAGCCCCTGAGCGCGTCCCTCCGAAGTCAGTGGGGATCAGTGAGCATAAGGACACTGTGGGGGCCAGGGGACTTTGAGGACTTGCTCCCCTGGTGGCGGGGCAGGTGGGGTGTCTGAAGGGTACACGCATCTGAGGGTAGCAATGTGCTGGTTTATTTCTTGTAAGCTTGACATTTAGTCTGGTAGCTGTTTAAACAGTCTATATGTTTCTTGAAATAGGCTTTAGCGGGCACTGGACATGGGCACTTTCCATGCTCCTGTGTTTTTCTTGTAAATTTTACTGGAAAGACAGTGTGTGGAGTTGCTGCAGCGGCACTCTGCTGCTCTGTTCTCTAGGTCCCTTGTTCCCTTTAGTCGCAGTCAGGGGCACGTTAAGAAATAAAAAGAAACGAGGGTTTGCAGACAGTGGAGCAGGCGTGGGAATTGCTTCCCAGGGAGCTTGTGCCATTTTGACCCACACTGGTTTCCACACCCTGGTGCGCAGCTCTCACCAAGCCTCCTGCACTGTCTGCCCGATGTGAGTTGGAGCTGCCTAGAGCTTCAGCCTCTGCTTCTAGGCCTTGAACTTCTTCCACGTAGGACAGAGGCACAGCCTTCTGGAAGAAATGTGCCTAATTTTCATAGTTGAATATTCCTGGAAAATAATGTGTCAAATGAGTTTTTAAAAGTAAGCTCATTTTCAATGTTTGCTTATTTAAGGGAATGAATGCTATTGTGAATCATTTTGGAAAACAAATTAACTCTCCTTCCAGTGTAATTATTTTGGGAGGAAACCTGACAGCACAGTGAAAAGACAGGGCCTTTGGTCTCAGATGCCCTCTCCACCCGACGTGTCCTTAAGTGTGGGTCTTGTGTTCATCAGACCAAACGTGCAGATGAGAGTAGTACACCCCGGGGGACTTCAGCTTCTGGGCAGCCGTGGGGGTCCCTGTTCTCTGTGTCCAACCTCGTCATGAGTAAAGGCAGAAGAAAGGAAAAGGCCGAGTGGCCTACCTCTGTGTCTCTCAGGCTGCTTCAGCGCAGACTGGCTCTGAGGGTAGTTGTGGAATCTGCGAGCTCTCATCCTTGACTTCCATTTCCTCATGCCGACCCCCCAGTGCAGTTCCTGTTCTGGAATTCCAATTACACGTAGGTTATTCCTTTTGATGATATCCCACATGAACCTTAGGCTTTCTTCATTTTGTTTTGCTCTTTTTTCTGATTGATCCCTTTCCAAAGAAGTGTTCAGGTATTTGCCTTCAGTCTCCCTAATTCTGTCTTCCATTGATTTAATTCTGCTCCTTTGCCCATCAATGTCTTATCTATTTCTGAAAATTTAGTATTAATCTTCTGGATTTCCGTGTGTAGGTTTTGTATCATTTCTAATTTTTCATTTATTTTGTCATTTGAAATTGTCTTTTGAAGTTGTTCTGGGGTTTTCTCTGTGTTTTCTTTGATATGTCTCTCAATTTGTTGAAGATACCTAAATACAATTCTTTTGAATTCCTTATCAGGGAGTTCCAATGCTGCGTCTTCCTCAGGGATGTGTTTTGGGTCCGTATCCTGGTCCCTTGTTTCTCCTGCTTTATCTTGCTTCTTTGTGCGGATAGTGATGCTCTATTGTCTCCGAGGCCTTGTGACATTTACACTCCTCGGAAGGAAGATTGGGCAATCTGCTTCCATAGTGATACTGCCTCGGAAACCCAAGGAGGGTCATTAAGAGTTGGGTCCGACTCAACGGCATAGAAGAACAACAGTAACGTTGGAGTGACTTGCCCATAATTTTCGTTTTCTTTGTATGTTATCTATGTAAGCAGGGTAATATGCTGTGCTCCTCTATTTGCTAGTGGGCAGCACTTATATACTCACCACCTGTCTCCTTTCCTGTTGTCAGCCTCTCGTATGAACCTGCCACCCTTGGCAAACAGAGCCTATTCCTAGGTCCCTGGAATCTGAATGAGGATGCTATCACTTTACAATCTAAAATGGTTGCCACTTGTAAAGATTCCAAATGGCTGTGCCCTTGGTCACTTTAAATATCCAAAATGGCCGCCACTTGTAAGCATTCAAAATGGCTGCATCCTCGGTCACTTTAAATATTCAAAATGGCTGCGCCCTCTGGACAGCGGAAAGTCAACAGCTCAGGCTGTCTCTCACCTTGCTGTTTCCCCTCCTAGTCATAGGCCACCAACGCAGTTGGGTAGACTTGAACTGTTAATCATTTGTTGAACAGCACAATGTGTTGGCTTAGTTGTGTGACTCCATGCTGTTATGTGCCGTCGAGTCGGCCCCGACTCATAGCGACCCCTCCTTGGGTTGCTGAGGCAGCATCGCTACGGAAGTAGATTGCCCAACCTTCCTTCCGAGGAGTGGCTGGTGGGTTTGAACCGCCAGCCTTCTGGTTAGCAGTCAAGTGCCTTAGGCACTATGCTACCAGAGCTCCCAGGTGATTCCATAGAAAACTGAAAAAAAGAAAGGCAGGTCCATCCATCTGGGCAGATAAGATGGTGGACTGCAAACAAAGTCATGAGACGTGTCATACAATAAAACCAGGAGACTAGGCAGAGCACTGGGTTCCTAGGTGTCCTCTGGAGTCCCGGACTCCTTGTCAGTTGCTAAAGGCAAGTGCCAACCAAGGACATGGCATGCTTCCCTTCAGCCACCCGGTGCCCAGCACACGGTTGATAAATGTTAACTGAGCTCAGCTGACCTGTGTCCCGCCCACTGTTGGCATCTTTGTGACTGTATGAGTAACTCACCCAGCTGCTCTGTGGGAGCAAAGGCCTGGAGAGCGTCTCTCATAAGGATTACAGTCTAGGAAAAACCCTCCAGGGGCAGTTCTGCTCTGCCATACAGGATTGCTGAGAGTTGGGACCAACCCAGTGGCATACAGCAACAATCCCCCAAAGTAGAAGAGGCCTGGGGAAGAAGCAGCCTTCTTGGTCAGTGCCCTTTGGGACACTTCAGGGCACGTTTTGGAGGCATTGTCACCCATTGGGAGCCTGGGCGCTGGGAAGGCTCTCCTAGTGCTTCTTCCCTCCCAGCCCTTGCCTGTGGGCCTCCTCCACAGCAGGGGGGTCCTTCAGTGTCAGCTTCCAGGGAGGCGTGGCAGGTGCTCTGCTTGCAGACCCTGCCCCGGGGACGCCTGTCTCAGTGTCCTATCCGAGGAACAGCCTTGAAATAGATCTGTGTGAGGCTCCTGTGGGAACTCTGCGACCAAGACCTGGTCCAGAAGGCTGCCAAGTTCATTGACAGCCACCAACCAGAATCTTCTGCTTGAAGTTTTGAAGCCACTGAAGGCCAGACTGGGGGTGGGAACAGGTAGCTGCTGCCAAGGTCCTCCGGGTACAGAGGGGGACTCTTAACACCTCTGTGGGGCCTCGGGTGTGTGCTGGGCCTGGGCCTCAGGGTCCAGAAGGGCAGAGTGGATGGTCATGTCATTTGAAGTCTCCATCCAGAGGAGCTGTGCCAAACTTGGTCACTGCCTAGCTGTGTTGTTGTTGGGTACCCAGGAGTTGACGCTTACTCATGGTGACGCCATGTCACAGTGGAGAACCGCCTCACAGGGTTTTCTTGGCTGTAAACTCGCGGCAGTGGATTGCTAGGTCTTTCTCCCCCAGAGGCACTGGGTGGGTTCAGATGCCCAGCTTTGTGGTTAGCGGCTGAGCACTTAACTGTTGTGCCACTGGGGCTCCTTTTTTCTAGCTATACCGCTAGAGAAATCATTAAACAACTGCCGAAACAGATTACCACTGTGGAGATAACACTTTCAGAAAAAGGAAGGCTGCTTAGAGCTGTGTTCTGAAGGGTGAAAAACACTTGGCTTGCCAGAGAGAAAGGCGTACTCCTTAGTTACGGACACCCCTCCCCCCAGTCCTCGCCCACCTTGCACTGTTCGCCTGCTTGGAGAGCAGCCACACAGACAGACCCAGGCCGGAGGGTGTTACTGCCTATCTAGTACCCAGTATGAGAGCCCTGGTGGCATAGTGCCTAAGGCATTTGACTGCTAACCAGAAAGCTGGTGGTTCAAACCCACCAGCCACTCCTCGGAAGGAAGGTTGGACAATCTACTTCCATAGTGATACTGCCTCGGAAACCCAAGGAGGGGTTGCTAAGAGTCAAAATTGACTTGACAGCAGTGAGTTTTGAGTTAGTACCCAGTGCACTGCTCCTTGAGGGCTGTGTTGAAGTCCCTGCTGTCCTGGTAAAGGAGAAATCTTCCTTGCAGCGTCAGTTGAATGAGCTGTGTGTCTGACGTACAGTACTGGGCAGCAGAGAGACCAAGGGTAGTAGGAGCATATCTCACCCATAAAAGAGTTCATACTTTGCTAGACGGGCAGCACCCAAGGGCGATGGGAGAAAGCTCGACTCCAGGAGGGAGAGGAAAGGCCCTGCCAAGGACCTGGGGGAGGACAGGCTTGGGCTCTGATGGCAGGCACCTGCCCAGGACCACAGTGCAGAGGGTGCTGAGCTGGATGGAGCCCCGACTGTTTTTTGCTTAGGATACATTTTTCCCAAGTGTTAGTTTTATATCATTAGATTAATACATTGAAGTCATCTGCTATTGTGGCTGTGTCTTTCTAATCTAAAAATTATCCTTCATTTGTAGGGGATTGCAGTGATTCTCTGAGTAAAATTTAGGAGGCTCTGAATCAAAAAGAAATTCCTTTCAAAGAAAAACATTTTTATTTTTTAAAAATTTTCTAATGGAAC